ATTATATTAAATGCTTATTTTTATGAAAATAAATTATATTTATGAATTTATATTTAAACGTTAAAAACAATTTATTAGTATATTTAATAATAAATAATTTCCTAAATAAATTAATGTAAATAGTTTTTTATAAGTATGAGTTTATATTTCAAACTTATTAATCGATAAAATCTGATTCCCCTAGATTTTGATTACGTAATTTTAATTGGATTCGATAATTCGATTTGTTGAACAATATTTATATAATAATTAAATATATTTTTTTATTAATATTATCAATTTATAAAATATATTCGAAATTTTTTTTATAATCATTAATCAAAACAATTTTTTAATGAATCATTGTAAACGACATTTTAAGAGATAGTTTCACGTGCTTCCGGTTTATCGATCGAACCGGTAGGAACATGGTAATTCGGACATAACGAGAGCAAAGTGATTTTGATCTTAATCTTTTTACATAAAAAGAATTTAATAATTAACTGTAAATATGAGTGCACTTACATCTGAATCCTTAACTGATAAAGAGAAAAGTGAATTTATGCAACAAATAAAACAAGAATTTGCCATTGCAAGTGCACAAGAGATGCTCTCGGTATGATGGCATAATATATTTATTTCTTTTTTTTTTACAAATTAAGAATGAATGAATAGCATATATTTGATTTTATATTTTCAGAAAATGTCAGAGAAATGCTTCAAAAAATGTGTGGTTAGACCTGGCACTTCTCTCGATAGTTCTGAACAGGTAATATCTATTCACAGAACATACGATACATAACCTTAATATAAAATATAACCTGAGAGCTTCAAAGATAGAATAGAATTAAATATTTTAACATTATAATAATATATACTATAACATTATAATATTTTTTTATTAGAATATTCCAGAAATAATTTGAAATAGCTTTTATAAAAATTTTTTTAAATTCCATTAATTTCTGTATAACAAATAATTTTTATATAATACATGAAATTGTTACAAATGTTTATTGAAAAGAAATTAATATAAAATTAATATATAAAACTAATATAAAATATATAAAACAACATAAATGAGTATATGTAAAAATCAAGAAATCAAGAATTAATATTCAAAAATAATAAAATTTTTAAATATATTGTTTCAATTTTAAATCATAACAAATTTTGCATGGTATTATAATAATGTAATTAAAGTAATAATAATATTTAAATATACTTTATTTATTATTACTTTGCACTTTTATAAAATGATAATATAAATAGTAAGTAATAAATAATAAAGATAAATAGATATAATTAATTAAAATTTAAAGTCTCAAATAATAAAGCAAATCAAAAATTAAAGTAAGATTAAATATATATTTAAAAATGAATTGATTTTATTTTAAATATAAAGTTTTTTCTGTATTATACATATTAAATTATGCTATATAGAAACGTAATTAAAAATAAAAAATATAAAATTATAAAATATTTAAGACGAATGAATTTTTCATAAGTTATTTTATAATTTATTTGCAGAAATGTGTAGCAATGTGTATGGACCGATATATGGATGCATTTAATCTTGTATCAAAAACATATAGTGCTCGAATACAAAGAGAGCATAATAGAATGTAACAGTACAAATTGTTAAATAAATTGTTTCTGGTTGTATATTGTGTAATTGTATATCAACTATTTCCAAATATTGTTTAGGAAATTGTAATTATTATGTATATTTGTTATCAAATCTATGTCATTTATAAACATTGAATAATTTTGTATATAACAATATCATTTTTGATTAATATTTATATAAAAAATAGATTTTTATATTTATAAAACTAAAAGTTAAAAATGGAATTTCAATAATACACAGTGAAATAACACTGCCATCTGTACTTATAAAGTATTGACAAATAAATTACTTAAACTTGTAATCTGTTTTCTTTCACTGAAATATTATGATTCATTTATATTATATTTGTCACATTAGCAATAATAATTTTTTATTTAATATAATTCTTTATTTATATTTTAAGTTTAATAATAAAAAATATTAATAATTTAAAATATTTTGGTCTTTTTCCTATATATATAAAATTAAGCTTTGAATAAAAATTTGTAAAAATATAAAATAATTTATTACATGAGATTAACATTAAATTTTAGTTAGATTAATTATAAGGTAGATAAAAATAAAACTCAACAATTGCAAAAGAGAAAAATCTTTATAAAATAAATAACATATACATGAATATTGTTACATCATATTTCAAAATCATAAATAAGTAACTTAGATATTTTATAAATTCCGCAATTCCATAGTATGTATTTGCATTGTTTCTTATTCATATACACTAAAAGGCACAATATAGCTACCAATACTTCAACGTGGTTACAAAAATAAACCTCTAGGACTGTATGAAAAAATATCATAAGTGATTCATTAATACTTCATCTGTTCAATTTGATATTATAAATTAGTAAATAACAATAATTACAACTATTTCATATCAATGTTTGCAAAATCTATAATTAATTCACCAGTACGTTATATGCCATTATTATATGTACAATACAGATAGTTTATAACATAACAAATCGATGTTATTAATTATATATATCTTTTTTTAGCAAAAAACAGCTGCAAAGATATACATATGCGTTATATGTAAAGAAATTTATTAATATTTTTTTTAATCTTAAAAAATATATTTTTAACTTTTTTTAATATTGTATTTATTTTTATGTTTGGCATATAAAATGAAGGATTATATATTTGTTATGTACCTTATGTACATTTTACAGATTTTCCAAAAGAAAAAGAAAAAAATATATATATATATATAACAAGATTTTTGTATATATTAAAATGTAGAATATGTGATATTATATTAATCAGTTTAGATTATTTGAAATCACTTCTGAAACTACATAAATATAAAAATGTTTATATACCCTGCAATAGAAATGTTTACAAAAACATTTTCTAGTTTTATCAGAATATAAAATAAAATTTGTTGATATACTGTTATAAGTTATGAAACATTTCTTAAATTACTCTCTTTCTTCTTCTCTTTCTTATAATTTACATTGAAAAATACTTTTTATGTAAATTTCTTTACTAATGCTAACAATACAACAAAAGTGCTTAATAATCTTAATAACAATGGAATGTATTTATATTTTACATTCTATAAAGTGTAGGAATGTTCAGTATCATCCTGAAATTGTTTTTATAAAATTATATGTCATATCAATATTAAAATGTAACCACGTTGATTGGTCAGGAACACACCTGCTTTAATATATACATTGAGATAAATATTGATTCAAATTAAGAGATTTCATAATACTGTAGAAGTAAAAACTTTAAATTTTATATTTTCATTTAAAATATTTAAAATATTTATATATTAATAATATATCTATTTTTTAAAATAGGTAATTGATTATTTTTTAATTCAGTTTTAAAACTGGATATTAAAAACAATAAATGTTGTAACATTAATTTTTAACAAGGTAATGAAATTATAATATAAAAAAAATATACAATCATGAGATTATAGTAATTATAATAAAAATAAAATTTTTTAATTAAATGATATATGAAATAGATTAATGGCATATTTATACTATTGTTTTAAATATAATTAATGTATAATTGAAATTTTAAAGGATGAAATCTCTTTGTTTGAATCATTTACAATATTTACTATTGATGACATTACAGTAATTGTGTGCTACTAAAAATTTTGTGAAGGAAGCAGGCTGTACAACCGTTAACAGATTTTGATTTGTCAAGCATCCAGTTGATCCATTATGAATTGTACTTAGTTATTGCATCTTATTGGGGCATAATATATTTATATCAATATATTGATCAAGATATTGGATTGCCCAAAAATTGAATTATTTAATATAGATTTCATTAATATTAATTAACATTAATATTATTATGGATGCAAGCAAACATAAGCATCATTCTTTTATTGAATATTAATATTCAAATTCTTTAATTTTTAGTTTTATGCATTTAGCACCATTATCTTTAAAGAAAAATAATTTTATATATTTTTTTTAGACAATCCATTTTTATATAGACGGATGATTTACTGATATTGCTATCAATACTATACCAGTAACTTTAGTTAAATGAGGTAATGACATTTCAGTCATAAAAGTAGGGATAGGAATTATTTCGGTAAACATAACAAAATTGTTACAAAATTTTTTAAAAAGATATAACTAAGTATTCAACAACCATTAATGTAACTGATTACTTTTCATTTTTAAGATATTTTAACATTAAAATAATTGTTTTTATGAGTATAATACTAAATATATTTACAGAACAACATAGAAGGCAGTTTGTCTGAAAATATACAATTAACAATTTTAATATTAATTTTCTAATTCAGTTAATATAATATATCAAGAAAAAAAAACAAAAAAAAAATATTTACTTTAAATAATATTTTATTATTTAACTGCTTCAAAATTTTATTTTATAGAAATCTTTTTCTAGAATTTTTATATGATTTCTATTTTTAATATTTCTAATTACAAAAATATAATTTAATATCTGTTATTATAATAATAACAGATAATAATGGCAGTTTATTAATTTAATTTATAATATTCAATTTCTTTTGGTAAAATTTTTATAATGTTTCTATAAAAAGCTAAATTTTCTAATATAATATAATGTTAATTTCATAAGATTTATAAGAAGTAGTATTTAAAAAAATACTACTAAAATAAAATAAAATCCATTATTTATAAAAATATTTTTTGACAAAAAAAATTATAAAGTTATATTGAAAATATAATATTTATAAATATATTTTCAGACATTTTCCTTCTACGTTTTTTTTGTAGGAGAACTTATAAGTATTGAGCCATAAATGGCAGTGCCACGTTAGAAACCAAAATAATTTTATAAATTTATACCAATTTGCATTAATATACTTGATGCCCTGACACAGAATATTGAATATTAATGCTATAAATGAATTAATATTTTGAAGTTCTTACAATAATTCTTTAGTAGATGTAGTGCATTATAGTTCCTTTGCACAATTTGTTGTAATACCCGTTGCAAAATTTGACATGTTTTTGTCTATGTTTAGATCTTCAAGCTAAAATAAAATATATGCAATATTCAAAATACATAAAAAAAACCTATAATTATATTAAAATATATATTAATTATTTTATATAGGATATTTATATAGTATGTTTTCATATATAGTAAGTAATCGCTACGAAATTTAAAGACATTTTAATTTTTAAAATTCACCAAGAATTATGTTTTACAAATATCAAATTATAAATAAATCTGCATAATTTTGATAAATATTTTTATTGTATTTTTTATTGTTGATATTTATATTATTAGTAATATAAATTTTTCATTTTTCTAATATTTAAATATATGAAATAAACGCTTTATATATATAAATAATAATTCATAATTTAATAATATATCTTATATTTTAA